GAGCTTGTATGCGGAATCCCCATGTGCACGCCCGCACGAGACGACTTTACACGAGGTGAGACGACTTAACCCGACTACCTAGTACTTAGGGGTACCAAAATGGGACCCTAATTTTGGGAACTACACAATTTCTCTATATCTCATCGTTAAGGAGGCGCTGCCCTGGACAGGCACCACCACTGCCGTCGCTGCTACCACCAACACCACCGCCAACAGCCTCAGCAAAAGCAGCCACTCTATATAGGGAATACATAATTAGATAGGGACGACATAGGGATTATATAGCGATTATATAGGAGAGTTCCCAAAATGAGGATCTACTCCCACTCTCAACCCAACTCCTGCTCCACCACTAGGACTAGTCTCACCCGGACCTCTCCTTTCAAAACATCCTGCACGTCCGCATCAGCGTCTCATCCCCAAGCTTGCGCATTAGCCTGCATGAGGCAAGCAAGAACGTAGCATACAGAGCCCAAATGCATAGAAGAATCCATGATGAAAATTGCAGGAACAACAACTCTATCACGAGGTGCGTAGAGAGATAAAAGGCACCGCAACAAAATGCGAGCAATGACCTTGATGACGGCGTCATAGCCAACAACCGTGAGAAGAATGCAAATGGTAGTTTCCAGAAATAAGGAGACCCCACTATAGACCCCCAAAAAAATACAATCCTTATTACTGGGACCTCCAAAAAATGACCCCTAGTTTTGGGAAACCCAAATATGCTTTCTGAGGAAACGGACCGCAAACGTTCAGGGAGCAGATTCGAAACGTGGCTTCCCTGACTGCAATATGAAACCCTTTACCCACGCTGATACTAAATACTCCCCGTCGTGGTATAGAATAATATATTAGGGGGTGGGGGGTTTATAATCTTAGGGGGAGGATTACATATTATGGAGGGTTCAAATAGCGTGATACTCTTACAGTTGCAAGCCCTATAGCGACATGTGCAGATTCTAGGAGTACTAGAGCTATGCACATGTTGAGAATTGTCCCAAGCTCCCAAACGAACGACCTCCAAGAAATGGATCTTGGGTAGGACTAGGTTCAGCTTTTCCTACAATTGCTCTCCTCATGGGTTCCCCTACTACCCCCCCTAGGCTTCCCCCCTTAGTAAAGTTACTCAGTGATATTAGGCCTAAGTAGGGGGTTAGTATAGAGGGGGGTTAGGAAGGAACCTATTATCTCATCAATGCTGTCAGCCGGCCTTGTCGTTGCCATGCCCTGCACGCAGGAGCAGTGTGATTAGGCCCTCTCAAGGTAGCAGTGGAAGCTTCTAATGCCTCTAGTTTCCCCCCTGTAATTGTGGGGTCATTTTGGTGCGATTCAATTTTTGTTGGATCCTTTAGGGAGTCTGGGCAAATCACGCGACATAATAGTTTCCATAAAACGGACCGCAGTATAGACTCCCAAGCCTAAACCGTGTAGACCTCTGAATACCATGACCCTCATTCAAAGTAACCCTCCTTTAAGGGGTAAACCCGAATCCCTAAACCCTCAGCCCTAATCCCTGAACCCTAAACATCTTTTATAAGTTCCATTTGAGGCTCCTTAGGGGGTCTGGATAAGCGATCCGACCCAACCTCGGCACGGCGAAGAAGTTTGGAATCATGGCTTTTCCCAGCCTGGAATCATTTGCAAACATTTATGAGGGTTTAGAGTTAAGGTTCAGGATTTGGAGTTTAGGGTTTAGGGTTTAGGGGCTATATGCAGGGATATGTAGGAACTGACAAAATAAAATGGAAACTACTGGGTTTAGGGATATTAACCGCCAATATTGTGGGGATAAGGAAGGGGGGGAAAACAGGATTCAGGGATAGAAATGGAACTGGATTTATGCATAATTGATCTGTGTCTTAGTGCCTACTTAAGAACATCCGTGCAACAACTTCAAGGGCCAAACGACTGTGCTGGAGCAGCCTCTTCAGACCATCCCGTAGAATCAAATGGAAAGGAAAATGGAGAATGGAATGGAAACAGGCCTTGGGGTCTATAGGGCTTAGGGTTTGGGGTTTAGGGTTTAGGGTTTAGGGTCTAGGGTTCAGGGTATACCGCAAGAAAGTCTGTGCATTTAATCAGTAGGCCGGGAGCATGGCATCTGAATCAGCACGGTCCATCGACAAAATCCTGCATGACCCTAGATATACTACATTATTCTGGGGTCATGCAAGATTGCGTCCATCCACCGTATAACCAAGAGGTTCTTCAAACCAACTCTCCAGGCCCATGGACGTACTTGAACGAAAGTGTGAGGCTTTCTATGCTTTAAAGCTGTAGATGTGCTTCGTACAGCCCAGTGGCGAGTCTCCCTTGTGACGGTGTTGTAGTAGAACGGCTTCCTCGGCAAACAGTGTGAGTTGTCTGCTTTTGAGGTTGAACATGTTGAACGAGCTTGCCTTCGTCTCTGACTGCTTGCGTCCTGCTCTCTGCAAACACTGAGCACCTACTTGCTCCTAGCTAGATCGAATCCACGAATCCAGGCTCCATTTCGGATGGTACAAATCTTGTAAGCATTTCCCTGCAACATGTCGCGCCTGCTGCGTCCTCTCCCTGGAGGTTGAGCTGTTTTCTGCTATCCCAAACTTTGGGTCTTAGACTCACATACACTCACCTTGCTGCCTACCGTTCACTCGCGCTGTCTGCGTAGGACTGCGCCAAGAAGCCCCGATGATGGATCGTTGTGCTCTTCCCAGTTCCTCAGTTGAACCAGCTTCGGATCCCAGTTCATGAAACTATTCTAGTAGCTTTTGTTGCTGGCTTGCATCTCACACAACAGAATCTGATTCATACGATGCTCGGGTCCAAAGGTCAGGAATCTTGAGCTTCTTGTGATGTTCTCACACGAGAGCTTTGTTCACATCATCCCCAAATCATGGACAGAACCTACGTCCAATATCACCCCCACGTCCAATATAACCCCTACATTATTACTATCCTATATACCCCCAGTTTCCATTTCATTTTCCACTTCACTTTCCATGTTGAATTCTTGGGGGTTTATAGCCCCTATATAGCCCCTAGCGGTAAGGCTTCAAGGTTTCTCGAACAAACCGTGCAAGTTTGCAGTCACGGAGCGGTGGCAAACCCCCGGCGGCCTTGGCAAGGCAGGGTGTTTGTGGCGGAGGGTTCGTGCGGAAGCCTACATGAGCCATTGTCTAAACTCCTGGCATCACCCTTACTAACCCCTATAATAGTCCCCTATATAATTTCCCACTTTAAGAATTTTTTTAGATTCATTGTTCGAACAAGGTTCTGGAGTGGAGAGGAATGTGATGTGCAGGGAATATTGGAACCCATGGTAGTTTCCCAAGAAAGGGGGACCCCAACACAGACCCCAATAGACTATAGTCCTTATTGTGGGGACTCCCAAAATGGTACCCCGAATTTTGAGAAACCCTTTACCCTAAACCCTATAAATCCTTATATAACCCGCATCTTACCCCAATATCCCAAGAAGGTACTCCTAATTGTGGGAAAGTCCCCCATAGCGGCACCCACTTGACTTTATTCAGAGTCCAGCGGCCGCAGCGGGCTTGTCCCACGATGTCTCCTGCATGTGCAAGCCCACAAGTTGAAAAGTAGATGGTCGTTTCATAAAATTGGGGAGCCCCGAGAGATAGACCCCAAAATACTACA